AACCCAACCCAACCCAACCCAAAATAATCTAATCAAGAGGCAGTCACTGTGAGACATTGTTACCATGCTCTGTTGCCCCTCTGTGACTATGGCCAATGTTTCCTGTATCTAATATTCTTTGATTAACATTGTTTTACCAAAATCATTTGAAAATGACTTGCAAGCTGAAAATGCTTTTTCTGAACACATAGTGTTGTGACTGATTAAATGAGCTGTGTTATTAAAATCTCCTTATAAGTTATAATTATCAGTGATAGGTGAGCTGAGTGATAATGCTCCTTAAATTGCATGTTCTAGAGGATAAACCAGACATGTGTGAAATGGTCGTAACTATTGTTTCTGGTTCCGTTGCTGAGAATGTGGTATATCTAGAAGTCTTGGCTGGTCATCTTGTATTGAATATTGAACACTTGACTCCACATTGAACAAGACTGCCATTGCACCTTTTTTCTCCTGTTACACCAGCTTCCCCAGTATCGCTATCTAAACCCACAGTAAAAGCAATGTCCCAGCAGACCTCTCCGACGATGTTACTTCAGTCTCTACTCTACATTGGTGCAGTCAAGTCGGGTGTATATATGCTACCCACTCTCGAATATCTCGCGTTGTATTCTTGATTCACGAAGAAATAAGTTGACTGAGGGATCTTTATTTGCTTTGAATGTTCTTTTGCTAATGACTTTATTGTTTGACGACAAAACAATGCCATAACCAATTCAAGCACAAAGGAATTTAGAAATTAAGAGTTTTGTAATATATGAAACCAGCACATCATTTAAAAAACTCTATAATATATTTGCTGGTCTTGCTTTTTTAAGAAGACGTTCGTAAATAGTTTCACAAGCATCTGCAATACATTAATTCCATAATAATTACTTCCATAGACTGGTACATTTTTGTCTATATTTAGTTTATTTAAACTATGTTGCTTGGTTTGGAATTTCATCAAGAAACTGAAAACATTAATACAATTCTTAAGAAATGGTTCAAATTTTTAATCTATTCCAAAGCAAACGAACATTTGCACAACACGTGGCACATTGGGTCGCATCTCGCCACTGCAGGCCGACCCACTAACTACTAACGTTCACATAAAAAGTGACCCCCATTAAAAGTTTGGTAGTGAAAATATTGACCACCAGCATAGGCTATTGGCCACTACAATATAGAACTTGTAGCAGTCTGACAAGCTAAAATGGCCCAATTGGAGGTCAAGTTCAGAAGACCATTCATGTGGCCACAGTACTGGGAATGTTAAAGGCACTTGAATAAGGTTAGTATGACTAATCCTTTAAAGCGGAGGAATCGTCACCTATGCATGCATCAGGTGGCCATAGTACCCATGAGCCTTTATGTTCTTAGCGTGTGTTATCATCGCTTGGGACTCCATTTCCGCGTGTGCGCAGGTGACGACCCTCCCACTTTAAAAAGGTAGCATGTTTGCTGCCCATAAGTCTTACCTATAATTGTGAAGCATTTATGAGAGATGCAATAATTTTAAACAGATTGTTGCATTTTGTAGGTTGTTCAAAATTGTTAATTATTCATTTGCATAAGCTTCATTCATTTGTTTCATTTCTCCACTGCACATGGTCATTGTAGCCGATTTGCTTCCTACTGCATGTGTCTAGTCATTTCTGTTTTCGGGGTTATTTTCGAGAGAGAAAAAGTCGCAAACAGATTATGTTCACAACAAGGATGTTGATGGGTTTGCCAAATTATATAGTTCCATGGTCAAACCGACTACCGATAATTTATATAGAAGCTGCTTAAGTATTACGTAATAATGTAGGTCATTGATGCAAGTCGAAATTACATGATTATGCATGCAAGTTATTGATGAATTGATCCTTAAAAACATTTTAAGACAAAAACTAAATTGCAAGGTCTTATGGAAAAGCATTTATATTAAAGTACAAAAAATTATATATTAAAGTAAATCAAATTAAAGCCGCAAGCGGCGTCACCGGGGCCCAAGCTGACAAGATTCTGTTTCATAATTAATGTGGTCACATGTTAGACAATCAGGTAGCTTGAATTATCAGTAACATGAGGTCAAAATAAAGTTGGTACCATGTATTTACCTGGTTTGGTTATCGAAATATGGTTTTCAAGATATATAATGAGCCATGTTCTTATGCACAATAATTAGATTACATAATCATATATAGCCATTTCTAATGTCAGTTACATCTTTCATTCAATGTCTTCATAATGACACTAGTTG